AGCAGGAATCGAACCCCGGCCTGGAACTTGGTCTGAGTCTTCAGAACCTGGGGGGGCTGCTTTTCCACCAGGAAAGAGCTGGGAGGAGTGAGGAGGACACAAGGGAAGTTAGCAGCTGGGTCCCTCCTGGTGCCCTCCCCACCGCTCTGACCCTCTTCCTTCCTTGGGGTCTGCTCTAGGCCAGGCTGGGGTCTCATACCTGGTGATGAGGGTTCGCAGGACTTCATCCAGCCGGCTAATCAGCGCTGCCCGGGTCTTGGGCTCAAGCTCCCCACCAGCCGCCCCCACCTCCTGCTGCAGCTGGGAGTAAATGTCCACCAGGCTCTCACACCTGGGGCCAGGACCGTGGTTAGGGGGCACAGGGTTTAGGCTGCCTGCTCCCTGCCCAGACCCCCCACCCGTAAACCCAGGAAGAAAGCAGGAGAGTGTGTGTGGAGGGGTGGGATGAGCAGTGGGCATGGCTGCAAGGCACCTGGGCTAACCAAGTTGTGGGACATGCCTTGGCTCTGGGGAGGAAGGTTCCTTCTCAGTGCCTGGAAGCTCTGTGGAAACCCAGCTGCCTCTTCCCCAGGGCTCTGGTACCCAGGTCAGCTGCCAGCACATACGATGCTTTTGTGCATTTTCAAAGGTGCCCCGCCCAATAGGCCAAATAGACTTCCCATTCCTCTGGGCACAGGGCTTGAAGAGAGAATTGTGGGTTGGAAGAACTCCTGCTTGTGCCCCATCCACCGGGTGCACGTGTACAGGACACAACCTAAACAACAGTGTGCCTGGCTCTGTTGGAACGGGCTTCTCTGAGTCTTGACCCACCCCAAGACCCTTTGGCCTGGTTTTCTCTCTCACACCTGTGGGTGCTCCAGCAGGGACAGCAGGTGTCCACCCCCAGCCCCCCACCCTTCCCTGTCAGCCCTGCCCCAACCTCTCCTGTAGTCGGGCCAGGCTCTCCTCAAAGGGTGCGCCATTCCCTGCCAGCTGTTGCTGCCGTTTCCAAATCTGGATCCTCTTAAGCACCAGGGCCTGGGCAGCCTCCAGCTCCCCGACAGTCTCCTGCAGGAACGTGGCGAGGGCCTGTGGGAAGAAAGGGCCTGAGCCAGGGCCACACACTTCTCCTCACCCAGCTCTGGAGGGTAGGGCTCTCTTTCTCACCTCTCTGAGGTCTAATCTCCATCCCTCCACAGGTTTGAGACCCTCAAAGTCTGCCCTTGGGGCTCAATCTCCATGTCCCAGCCCATTACTCACCTCACTTGGCCCGGTCCCGTTGGCAGGAGTTTCTATCAGGCTGTGCAAAGACACTGAGGGTAGGGGCAGAAATCAGGGGTGCAGATAGATTTGAGGTTCAGTCAAGGTTGAGATCCAAGAGGGGATCACTGCCACGCACTCCCCAGAACCCTCTTAGGGCTCTAGGCCCAGGCTCCCACCTTGGCCTCCCTCAGCCCCAGGCTGCAGGGCTTTGCGGAGAAGGCAGGTTTCCCCCACTCGGTGCTGCAGCCTCCGCAGGACTGTGTTAAACTTGAGTTCCTCTTGCTTCCAGTGGAAGGGCATTGGCAGGTGGTGGAACTGCACAGGAGGGAGAGATGCCAGGAGGTGAGACACTCTGCCCAGCCCTTTCCCTCGGCCTCCACTCCCTAAAGGGGTGCGACTGCCATGCTCTGCAGAAAACAGACCACTTCCCTTGTCTGACTCCCTTCTCTCCTTTGACAGTCCTTCCTGACCTTTTAGAATTTCCTGAAGATAAGACCTCTCTCCTGGCAGAATCAGCTCCTTATCACTTGCTCTCTCCTTCCTAGGCTTCACTACCCTCAGTCCCTCATTGCAAGCTTCTCTGAGCTTAACTTGGGGCTCACTTTGACTCCTTTGGTCATCCTGGGCCTAGAACACTGAACTTTTCCTGAAGTTCAAATTCCTTCTAGTTTCTCATGGCTCAGGCTAAAGTCCCAGGGAGTTGAGTTGGGGTGGGAGGTGGGGTACCACAATACCTGTTCCATAATGGCTTTTTTTTCCCCTTGAAGTATGTGTCTGAAAGTGGCCACCAGCTTCAGGGGGTCCCTCTGATATATGCTCTATAGAAATGAAGGGTGGTAGACAGGGTTAGCCTGGCTCTTACCCATGTCTTTCTCCCCTTCCAATCCCCAGGCCCCCCCCATTCACACATGCACTGAAAGGCAGCACAACTGTCGACTCCAGAAGTTTTCATGCGTTTGCATGCTTTTAAAATCTAATTTGCATGCTAGCTAACAGCTAGCCACAGGAACACCAATTTGCTTCCAGCGTCCAACCAATTTTCTTCCAGCATCCAGTGCTCACCCCAGCTCCATTCCAGGCCCCACCCAGCCTTGTCCCCTCCCCTCCTGCCCCACCTCCAGGGTGCTGATGTGTTGCAGGATGGTGCTCCCCTCCCCCTGTTCTCCAGCTGAGGCCTGAAGACGCTGGACAGTGGCAGAAAGTAGGGCGCTGGCCATGTTGCAGCAGAAGGCGTCTGAGCCGACAAGGAATTCCCTGCAGGAAGATCAAGGATGAGGCAGCCTCGGGTCAGGGCTTCCTCTGCTCTACTGTCCCTTTACCCCACAGCAATCAGCTCAGCGGCTCCTTCCTCCTCTTATCCTCCATCCAAGCCCTCTGTAGCCCTCAGCTACGTCCCTTGTTCCCCAGTTCTCCAGCTGTTGTGGGTAGAGCCCTTACCCCAGCTCTGACCTCCCTCCTCTTTGGCTCAGCCTCCTAAGGGGGTGGGGGACTCCACGTATCAACATGCATAGTCTGGTTGACGTGGCACAGACTCCCAGCTAAATCTGGACCACCACACATGGAATAACGAGTCCCAAGTCTTGAAATGGGATGAAGAAAATCTAATGAGAGGGAAGGTGGGTGGGGGAGGACCTGGGGGACCAACATGGGGCAGCCAGGACTCACCAGGGCTGGTTCTCCAGCCAGTCACCCAGGAGATGCCGCAGGTGTTGAGGGAAGTCAACATAGAGCCGCTGCAGTTTTTCTGGGGGCATTTTGGAGACCAGACCCCACAGAGACATGATCTGGGGTTTGGAGGGTGCCTGGAGAAAAGGAACAAGACTACTTGGGCACTCTGAGAGGTGCCCAAGAAAGTTGGCTTTTGTTTGGGGGCAGCCAGGGACCTCTCGTAGACAGCTCTCCCAGAGACCGTCCCCACCACCACTCACAGCCAGACCACCTCAAACCAGGGACATCCCTGGCCAGTGCCTCAGACAAGGTAATTCCTTCAACGGTAGACACAGGGGTGATGGGGTGGGAAGAGCTGAGCTGCAGCCAGAGGGCGGGGTGGGAGACAGGGGCGACGGGGGCAGTAGAGAAAGCTCTCTGAGAGAAGACAGAGGATGTGGGTTGTAGCTCTAGGCCTGGCTCTGGTTCTGTAGGCAAGAAACCTCCCCTCTGTGGACCTCAATCTTCTCATCTGTAAAATATGAGGCTTGGATAAAGTGCAGAACTTTCCAAACTTTTTAAGGCTTGGATAAAGTGCAGAACTTTCCAAACTTTTTAAAGCAGTAGACAATTTTAGTTTTAACCTGTGGAATCCCAATTATATAAAATTGGAGTTTCTCCGTTGAAAGCAAGTGTGGTAGGCCTGGAATTCTACTGCTTCTTACTTCCCTCTCCCCACCTCCTGACCCCAAAGGTGTCCCTGGAGAAAACCCTCAAAATTCCAGGGTTCCGTGAGAGAATCTGAAAACTACCCGGCTAGATGATGAGCATGGCAGAGTAATAATAGCTACCATTTATTAGGCACTTACTATGTATGAGGCATTATACTGAGCTCATTACCTCATTAAAATCTTGCAACAATTTTTAAAATACAGAATTATCCCCTTTCACAGGTAGAGAAACCGAGCTCAAGGAGGTTCTCCAACTTGCCGAGGCCACTCAGCAAGCGATTTGAACCCGAGAGGGGATTAACCACCACGTTGTGCTGTTAGGATGCCTTCCAGATCCAAATCCCATAATCCTAAGGGGGGGGCATGGGAGGAGAATTGAAAAAGAGGAGATTGAGCGAAAGGAAAAGCAGAGAGAACTCAGGAAGATGCTGAGAGATTAGAGAAAAAAGGGGGGGTGAATAAGCCTTCAGTGAAAAGCCTAGAAGAGGGGCAAGGAGGCTAGAGGGCTACAACGAAGAGAAGAAAAGGGGGCAAGAGGAAAGGAGATGGGAGGGTAGGGGAGAGGGCTGCCTCCCCATTTCTGGGTGGGCCACAGGGTGGGGTGCGTAAACCAGTGGTTTCCCAGGGGTCTCTCAGTTTCCAGTTTCTCAAAATATCCCTCTTCTGGGCTTCCCTGGTGGCGCAGTGCTTGGGAGTCCGCCTGCCGATGCAGGGGGCGCGGGTTCGTGCCCCGTTTCGGGAGGATCCCGCGTGCCGCGGAGCGGCTGGGCCCGTGGGCCATGGCCGCTGGGCCTGCGCGTCCGGAGCCTGTGCTCCGCAAATGGGAGGGGCCGCAACAGTGAGAGGCCCGCATAACGCAAGGAACTATCAAAATATTTGTGAGTATTATCTCAAATGAGTAGAGCACACTTTGAGATTGGAAATCTGAACTTTATTAAAGTTAGTAGTTTCTCCTGATTTCATTTCCATGGGCTCAGTCCCAGCCATTCTTATCATACACTCTGTGGGCAACACCCTGTTCAACAGAAAGAAGAGCATAGTTCTGTGCATATTCACTATCTATTATTGGAAATACTTAAAAAGTGCAAGTTGTTGGCTCAGAATCTTTATCTCTATACATGAAGGTCAATTGAAATGCACGCATCTATCCCCATCTTTATGCCTTCTATTGGGTCTAAGTGTAATAATGCTCTCTTCTCAAACTCTCTGTAAGATAATTAAAGGATCTGGAAAGGCTAACAGAGCCAGGTTCTATTGATAGATTCAAACTTTTATTGACTAACCAATAGAAAACTTCACATATGCTAAGTATTCTTTTCAGGTGACCACTACTTGACATGAGAATCTTAAGACCAAAATTAAGTAAAATATATATATTTTTTATAACATCTTTATTGGAGTATAATTGCTTTACAATGGTGTTAGTTTCTGCTTTATAACAAAGTGAATCAGCTATACATATAAAGTAAAATAGAATTTACTTTTCTCTCAAACTGAGTGTTAAAAAATATGGACTTTCCTATTATTTCTAATAATAGGTGATTAATGGTTCCCTGAGAACAAAAAAAGATAAATTATGTAAATGTAATGCACCCATAGCCAGGTTTGAAACAGTTAAACTATCAATGGAGCAGGTGAAACATGTTAGAACAGTTGCTGCTATCTATGGGCTGTTTATTGAGGAGTGGGAGAGAGCAAATGGAGACACAGCAGGGAGACTTCTAAGTAATGGGAAACTTCTTCAGGACAGAATACTTAATAAGATTTTTTTTTATTAGCAGATAAAAGTTAATACTTAATAAGATTTTTTTTTTATTAGCAGAGTCAGGAATATCTATAAGCCTTACTCATTACCACCCATCCAGGAGGAGAGGTCATCTACAGACATTTGTAGGGGTCGGGCATAGGCAGAGAGTATAAAGGAAGTGATTAGAAAGCGTTGAGCTCCACAGGGATAGCCATAGTTGTTTAACAACAAATAAGAAAAATGATACTTCAAACAAATAAAGATGTATTTGATAATGTCTCTACAAGGCAGAAAGGCTCTATCTATATTGTAAAGGCTATACTTTGAATCTTAGACAGGTTGACTCTCAATAATTTACAAAAGAGCAAAAAAATTAAAAAAAAAAAAAAAAAAAAAAAATATCCCTCTTCCCAGAGATGACAGAAAGGATGGGGATGGAAACTCCCTGGATCTCCCCCAACCTGGTAACCCCAAGTTTTCTGGCTGCACTTTTAGCCCCTCCTCTCTCCCAGGAGTCCCAGAGGGATGGAAAACAGAGGCGCCCCTTTTCTGGAGGTTCCTGCTGCTCCCCCCAGTCCCTATCCCCTTGAGCTCTTTTCTCCTAAAGGCAGAATCCTCCCCCAATCCTGCTCAGGGTCCTCTAATAGACCTTTCTCTACTCCCACTTGGGGTGGGGCCCCTTTTGGTTTGTGTTTCAAACTCAGGGGAGGACTCCAGCTCTCTCTTCCCTCTTCCTCTCCTGCGTCTCACCGGTGCTTTGACCTCTCTCCCTACCCTATTGGGGACTGAGGCGATCCCTAAGCCATAGGCAGCCCCCCTTTCCCCTACATGCCCCTGTTGAGTGACCAGCTTCCTGGCCTGGTCCTGGCTTCAGATCTTCCCCACTCCATCCTCAGGCAGCAGGGGGCCAGGCTTTCCTCCAGCCACACCCAGTAACCAGGCTGGGTCAATCGGCCGGCCAGGCCAGGGGCACCTTCTGCGGTAGGCACCCAATACCGGCAGGGAGGGAGGAGCCGCGGCGTGAGGGGGCGGGGCCAGTGTTCCCTTCCCAACCGGGAAGGGAAACCCAACGTCCAGGATCTTCATCAGCCCTCTTCGTGGCCTAAACCTCACCTCAACCCTTACATTCCCGAGCCCTTTGACCGTGGGACCACAGGATCAAGCAAGAGTCAAACGAGCTTCTCTGAGTTGCCCAGTGTGTGTCTGCGGCGGCGGGGGCGGGGCGGGGGGCCGGGAGGCGGAGCCAGTTCAGCAAGAGTAGGGTTAACTGCGTGACTTGGCCGCGCCAAAAGTGGAGCAGTTTTGAGGGGGGAAATTCCCTCTCCTTTGGGACACCATGAGGTCTGCGTCTGGGGATCGCTCACCCCTTAGCCACACCCTTGAACAGGAACCTTTTTGGGGGGCCCGGATACGGGTTTGTCTAGGACCTACTGCCCTCTGGTATCAGCCTTCCAGGGAGGGGCGGCCACCTCCCCCCAACCCAGAGGGCAGAGGGGCACCTCCTTGCCCTCCTTTCCCAGCCTTTACATGTCCCTGGAGGTGCGGGGGACGGGGTGTATGGAAAAAGTGACCCACGGTGGGGAGCGGGGGAGGGGAAGTGCTGGGCCTGTACTCACCCCAGATTCTTCTGATACTTCGAAACTGCCAAAACTCACTACCACCAACCACCAGCCCCAGCTGAAACAATTTCTTGGGGACCATCCACTCTGCCCAGGGAGGATCCTGAGAGGCACTCCCCACAACCCACCGCCCCACGTACTCATGGTCAGAGGCCCCCCACCCTCCCCTCCTTGGAGGCATCCCCTCACCTTGCCAACCCCTCTGCTGTCTTCTCCCTCTCTCAGCGGGCACTGCCAGGCCCCATGGGTCTGTAGTTCTGTCCAGCGGGTACAGGGCTGGCCCTGCTAGCACCCCCCCTCCACCTCCAGCACCAAAAAGAAAAAAATTACACACACACACACACACACACACACACACAATCCTCTCCCGTCCTTCCTCTTCAGTGTAAGCAGTGGCTGCCCCAGCCCGCTGTTTCCGGCTTCTCCGACTACCCAGGTCCCTCCCTGGAGCTCTGACGACACAGACAAGGGAAAGTGGGCTGGAGGAGGAAGAGGAAGAAAGTGGGGCGAGCGTGTGTGCCTCCGATACCGGGTAGGGGAGCATGGCGTGGGGGGGTGGGGGGAGCCAGGACGGGGGCTTGGGGGCCCTGGGGCCAGGCTGGAAGGGATGCTGATCCCCACTTACTCTGTCCCCCCTCAAAAGCAATCAACTTTCCTCCAGAAAGTCACCCAATATCAAGCCAGAGACGTGCCGCCCCAAGCTGCCGCTCCCATACTCAAACTTTCGCAGGGGCCGGGGGTTTGGGCTCGCAAGGGACTGGGCTCCCCTGTGGCCTCTGGAAAAAGAAATCCCTCTGGGCACTGCGCTCCCGCCAGTGGAGGACCCTGCAAGCGGCCAGGGAGTTGGAACTCCTAGGTCCCCCTTCCTTCTTGGTGGGGAACGCCTTAGAGGTCTCGTGACCGCTGATGGGAGGGAGTGGGGGAGGGGAGGCTGAAGCTCACAATTCTGTAGGACTCCAGGGGTCCCTCGGACTGAAAATCGTTTCTGCCCCCTCCTCACAGGGTACTACTCCACAAACCCAGGTGGGAGCGGGCAC